GTCCCTTGAGATCGAGGATTGCCCTCCATCCCCCTGAAGACTTCGGGACTACAAATAGAATGGAGTAATACCCCAGTCCCACCTGATCCAGGGGGACCTCCTCTATAGCCTTGATGGAGAGTAAATGCTGGATGGCGTCTTCCATGAGTCCTCTTTTTATAGAGTTTCTCATGGTTGGGCAAGACACAAAATGATCCATAGGTATGGATTTGAACTCCAGGGACAGGCCTTCTGTTATGGTGCGCAGAACCCAGGAGTCTGTGATCATGTTTTCCCATTGGTGGATAAAACGAGTAAGTCTGCCACCAATGGGGGGGTCCCCTCTGAGTCACTTGTTGCGACGGAAGGGGCGACCCTCTCTGCCACGAAAGGACTGTTTGTTTTGGGGTTGGTATCTGGTTCTGTCCCTATAGCTTGTCCTGTCAAAGGAATGCTCCTGCCTAAGGGCTGGGGACCGGTAAGGTTGTGCTGGCTCCGTCGCAGTCCCAGTCCGAAAGGACTGCCGGCGACTGTAAAGGGAGGAAACGTCTGTTAGTTCTCCGTGCCAAATGAGAAATAACCTTTTGCTTTTGCTTGTTCTCGATGAGATATGGCATTAGGGCCTCCCCAAATAATTTGCCACCCGTGAAGGGGGCAGTGGCCGCACGCCACTTATGGTTTGCTCTCAGCTCTCCAGTTTTTGAGCCATAAAAGCCTCCTAGCTACTATGCTGGAGGCCATTGCTCGGGCTGAATGCTTGGCCGAATACAGGGAGACATCCGCCATATATTCGGATGTGGCTATTAGTTTGGTTAAATCCTGATGGATTCTAACCTCTTCCAACGGGATCCTGTTCTGCAACTGACGAAGCCAGGTAATTGAAATCCTGGCAAAAAAGGATGTGGCAGTTGCCGCCTTTGTAGCCCATGCAGATGCCAAATGGACCTTGCGGAAGGCCATTTCAGATTTTTTATCTTCCGCCTTAAAGGCGTCCGAGACATCTACCGGGAGGCTGGCAGTCGAAAAGAGCGGGGCAGTGACTCATCTACCTTTGGCACCTCCAATAAATCCACCAAATTCTTGGCCACGTCTACTATCTTGCGCTCAGCCGTTCCCTGGGATGGTTGAGCAGCCGGTGACTCCCACTGCCCCTGAATATTTCTGAGGAATAAAGGAGGACAGGGAATTTGCAGGTGCTCGTCTACAGGCACAGCAAACAGGGGATTAGTGTCCTGATCAGAGGAAGGTTGAGGGGTTGGGACTGGATGGGAGGAAAGCTTGCCCGCTGCACAGGCTCTGCGCAGCAATGAGGGGAATAGTGAAGCGTTGAAGAGCTCCGCCATGGATTGTGATTCGTGGGTAGGTTCCTCACAATCCGACCAACCATCCCTACCACCCTCATATTCCGACATGTTGGAAGAGTCGGAGTCAGGAGAATGGGAAGGGGAAACCATACCTGACCTCTCCAGTGGAGGCCGTGCAGAGGTAGTCGGTACAGAAGAAGAAGACCCTGGAATAGGGAACGCCTGTTGTTGACCCGCTGACGCCATGGCCTGGAATACAGCCTGCGATATCCACACTTGGAGCTGGTCGGAGAAGGACTGCTCCAGCGGAGGCCGTAACCCCGCAGCAGTTGGTGAGATAGCAACCTCCCAGTTTTCATCTTGGCGAAGACCAAGATGAAAACTGGGAGGTCCTAGAAAAAGAGGAGGCGTGACAACTTGACAACTTGGTCTGACTGGGCAGTAGGACTGAAATAACCCATTGGTGGATTCTTCCATCATCATGTTGGAGAATCCTGACTTTCTCTTCAGTTTACCAAAAAGTTGAGGGAGATTAACAGATGAAGAGACATCTAGAATGCTTTGGATGGTGATGAGTAATGAATTTGATCAAATATGGGTTTTATATATATATATGTCTACTGTAGGACCGTTCAAAGGAATTTGCTAGGTATCTGTCAAAAAATATTGCTCAGATTTGCTCTCATTTACATATCTGTGCAGGTCCTGTAGAGATGATAGGAACACTGTCTTGCTCTGTTAGTTGGGAGTTGAACCTGTGGAAATGGACTCATGACTGTAAACTTGGCTGCCTATATATTAGATCCATGTCCACCCAGGCTGGCTAAATTTTTCTGGGAGATTATGTGTGGTTGGGTGCTGTCAGTGATAAATTCTTCTTTGAAAAGGTTATCCTCTTAAAGAGCTGGTGATGTGCCCCCTCCTCATGAAGTCATCCAAAAATTCTGGACAACTTCCATACAGTCTCCATACAGTCTCCAATCTATCCTTTTTCAGTGATGGTTACCCAGCAACCTATGAGGATCTCACAGGATACAGATTATCTAAACTACTTTCAGTCAGGATTTAAGCTCAGTTTGGGACTGAAACAGCATTGGTCAAATATTTATCCTTATACTTCCTCGATCTTTTGGTGGCTTTCATACTACTGATCATGGTATCCCTCTGGATCATCTGCAGGGATTTAAATGTGCAGCACTGGTTTTTTTTTAATCTTATAGAGTTGGTTCAAATCCGTTATTATCAAGGATGAGAGACCCAAGCCTTGTTCCTTATTTTGTGGGATGCCACAGGACTTGGTACTTTGTCTGCTTCTGGTTAACATCTACATGAAGCCACTGGTTGAGATTACCCAATGGCACAGAGTGAAGTACAATCAGTAGGCTGTTGATATCCAGATTTACAAATCCAATTAAGTGATGCTGTGGAGGTCTTGACATGTCTAAAATCTTAGGGATATGGATAGCGAACAACAAACTTCAGCTAAACCCAAGCAAAACTGAATGGCTTTGGATGCTGGGGCCTTTCTATCTCTTGTTTTGGATGGGGTTGTACTTGTGCACAGTTTGGGTGTCCTTGTGGAGCTATGGAAGCTGTGCTCAGAAAGGCCTTTGCTTAACCATGTATTGTATGGTCACTTCTCGCATAGATTACATGTAATAGGCTCTACATGGAGCTGCACTTTTAAGAGTATTCAGGAACTTCAGTAGGTGCAGAACTGCACAAGCAGTTATATGTGCTCATCAATCAGCACGTCTTACAACTCTACTCTATAGGCTACATTGGTCCCAGGAACTAGCGATCTATGAAGTTCTTCATGATATAGGATTGGATTTTCTGAGAGACTACCTCTTTCCAATTACATCTACATATTCCAGCAGGTCCAGCAGGAGGAGCAAGGTGTGGGTCTCATCAATTAAAGAATGTTGTCTGGCAGTGCACAAGAGGAGAGTCTTTTCTTCTCATGGCTCCTGCTCTGCCAAACATCATTCAGATCAGAGTGGTTCCAATCCTGCTGCCTTTTTGCCAAGCCCTGAGAACTTAGTTTGCTAAAGCCATGGGGAACCAAAACCATGGTAGAGCCTATGCAGAACGGTATTAGCAGTTATGTATGGATATGGTCACCTCAGTTATGAATGTTGTGGTATAGTTTTATATTGTTTTTATTGTTTTAAATTGTTGTACTGTTTTGTTATATTGTTTTTTAACTCTTTCTGAGCTACCCATAGTCATGTATTGAGATGGGTGGCTACATAAATGTGAGAAATAAATAACTGCTAACTGCCACTTGATGAAGAATATGCCAGTGGACTTTCTGACTTGGTTAAAATTTATATCTTTAGGTGGCAGAAATGCAGTAGTATCCTATGTCCATTGTCAATTCTCTAGTTTCTGTTCATCAGAAATAGATTGCATCTGAATATAAGGGTTCTGCTATTAACAATCTTGCTCACTGCAGTTTATTCATTCCAAAGCCACCATCCAAATGCACAGTCATTTTTATTCCAATGTGTTTACCCTCTGCATCGCATGATATGGGAAGGAACCATTGCCGCCTGCTATCTACTATGAATTATCTCAAGACACAGTGAAAATCTAAAAAAAAAAAGATACTGTTACCTTGTGTAGTTTATTTTATAGCCAGCAATGTCATCATTAGGTGACCTCAGTCGCCACTGGGAAGGTGTTTCCAAGTGCCAGTAATTGATGCGATTGAGAAACATTTTAGCCAATTCTACTATGGTTTGTCTCTCTTTTGATGGTAGGTGACTAAATTTGTATTGCACAAAATTATTAACTCCCTTAAAGAAGAAACAGAAAGGAGAGAAGTTATATCAGGTGAAAACCTGATATAAAATTCAGAAATGTTGTGGACCTAAGGAGAAATAAGTTCTAGCAAATACTTTCTATTGAAAATGTCACTGCATCTTTACCGACCAACTTATATCTGTTTCATATTTTATATCTAATGTATAAATGCTGTTGTAAATACATTTTGTTCTTTTTGGTTTCTTAGGAAAGAGACTATATCACTCTTTATAATATATAGTTTGGCTGATCACAATGGCATTATCACTCTTAGTCGACAATATATGCTCAGATATTAATTTCTACATTATAACTAACAGTGATTTTATGTAGGTATACAAACCAAAGATCAATAACCAGGTGGGCAATTTCTGTATAATAAACCGTGATGTTCAGGCATGCCCTTTGGTTTAAAACAAATTTCACACCTAAAGGTGCTGTTTTTATATTTCCAATTTTACAAAACACACCCATAGTATTTAAAACTATAATTCTGGAGTTACGAGCTAAAGTTTATAAGTAAATGTAGTTTCTAATATTGCATGCAAAGTTTTAAACCCTCCCTTACCATCCTCTCACTTGAAGGTGTAGAGAAGTATAAGAAGAGAACGGGAATTGAGAAACGTAATTATTATAACTCAAATGCTTCTTTGTCCCTGTAGCTCCCGCTATTGTCCATATCAGAGCATTTTAGTGACTCTTCCCTGGCTGTAATAAATACAGCTCCAGTTTCATTTATGAATCCAAACGGCATTTGTTAAAGTAATTTTGGACAAAATAATTTGATATAATTAAGCTATATATCCAGATTTGTTCATGACATTATGGATCTTTTCAAATGGGTGTTAAAACAACCAGTATTCATATACAATTTTAAACATTCCAGTACAATAATCTTATTAAATGCTTAATATTTAATTACTGCTTATATATTAATCTCTAATAACAATAGTTACCTTCCTGACTCAGCACCTTAGTTTCTAAAATATCAGCTACCTACCTAGGGTCTTATAGTGATACAAATTGTATCAGCTACTGGATTCCTTTTAAACATCCTCTTTTGTATTGCTAATGGTGGATTTTCCAATTTACAAGATGCTTTTTCCATCCAATTTCCAGGGGCACTGAACTAAAATACAAAGGCCTCTCTGCAGACATGTACAAAAGAATACATTAAGAAGAGTACTACTTAAACTAAAGGTAATCATTATAATATAGATGAGAGTGCAAGTTGAATTCTGAAAATACATGCAATAGATTTACAATGCCTATTGGCACAAGAGAAGGCAAAACTATCCTAATGTGAACTTTTATGTTGACAGCTTTCTTTCTTGGTCCACATAAGAAAACCATATTTTTGTATTGCCATGGACTCTTTATCTATTTTTAAAGAACTGTTAGATAAAGGTAATATCATAATAAGGGATGCCTGCATGTATACTTTACCTGTTCAATACTAGGTTTCTCAAACGGGGGACTCTCCAGTGATCCTTCTACAACTGGTTTCCCCATCTGTAATATACACTTCCTCAAAAGCTGTTGAAAAGACATTGGAAAATGATAATGAAATGCTGACAATTTCATACTTTTATTTATGTTTATAACATTTCTACACGTTTGTCTGTGTGGCTTAGATGAGTGCATTTGTGGTCACAGCTGCAATTTAAAATGTATTTTCTAAACAGAAAAGCATTCAGTTTACCTTGAATAAGTAGAAATAAACCTGCTTGGTATCTGCATCTTCTTCTTTGTGAACACAGGTGAAGAGATACTCAACATCCAACACAATTCCCAATAGTCTGTTCATTTCTTCTTCTGAGACATTCTCCAAATGGGAAACATGAGCGGCTAAAACAAACAAGAAAATCTTAGGCTTTCAAGGAAAAGGTCAAGTTACTGAAAATACATAGTACAGTCATTCTTGACTTGATGACTTCTTTTTATGTATAGGCTTCAATTCAGCATGGGGAAATCATAGGTTTGAGGAGCCTAACAATACAGTGCCAATCTTAAACCAGCAACAGTCAAACTTGTTTATATCACCCTGGAGCAAACATTTGGTAAAGCCTGTTCAAGCTCTGAAAATTCTGATGCATTTTTTTCCACAGAACGGGCTGTTTACAACCATTATCATTGTCATTTTTAGGTTTTCTCCTTGTTTAGTAAATGAAAGAATTATTTGTAGGGGCAAACACTGTTCTGCTACTATACTGAATCAATTTTTATTTTTATTTTATAAAGGATTGATCTTTTACTATATGTTTAATATTATACATTTCATAATGCAAGCATGTTTGCCTCTAGGAGAATGTTTTAGTTAACAGTTTACAAATAGAAGGAACTACTTCATCTGCCTTAAATAATACTGGTTAACTACATTTCTTACAGATTTCCTCCTCAGATACAATTTTATTTCAGATACTAATCAAGGATCCATAGCCTCTAGGAAAATTTTGGAATGAAAAACTCCACTAAAATTTTTCCAGGGTTTTCTAAGAATGCCCAAGTGTTGTATGTTAACAACTACTGTAATTCGTTTAAAAAAAAACATTTATTAATATATGTCCCTGATAACTTAATAAAAATAATATTCCTGTCTTAAAAGCTTAATAAATGGTAGTTATCATGCAACAGCTGGATGCTAATTAGGAAATTAGTTGTCATTTAAATAACACATTTTAAACTCTGAAGTCTAAACTTCATGATGTCCTATCTTCAGTAGTTTATCTATTTGCTTTAAAGCAGAAGTTATCAGATTTTTGTTATAAAAACATCATAGTCCTTTTGTCCTTGCAAAGGTAAACCTAGGAGATAATCAAGCTGAGCCCAAGGGTGGGGGTCAAATACATCATCAGTTTGAGTCACTACAATCCCGTAAGAGAACTAAGTCCACCCCACCCCTTTGAAGTCTATTTATTCTGATCTGGAGCCAATTCACCTTGATCATTAATGGTTCAAATTCTTGTGTGTATGTAGCATGAAATAAACTTCTAGTACTTTTGAACTCTATTCTGGCTCCTAACACTAAATATAATTAAAATCCATTGTTTCAGTGGCCTTTTCTATAATAAATGTCACTAACCACTTTCAAATGTGACACACTGTGGATACTATCTTATTAAAGCATGATATATAATGGAATGCTAGTTACACAATCTTTGTCCACGCTTTATTTTTGACAAGGTATGCAAACCAAGTGATAGTATGACATAGGTTCCCCTTATACAATAATCTTGCTTTATCGCTCCTAGAGGCAAGGCCAATGGTTTATCTGAAACAGGTATAAATGCAACTTTATATTAAAATACACATATAAATATAGTACTTATACACACACTAGCATAGCAATAGCAAAATGAAATACATTCTTATCAGTATCATCTGGATTTTGTGATATATGTTTGTGATGCTATCTGAGGATTCTGGAAGTTGAAGTGTAACATATCTGGATGGTACCATGCTGGGAAAGGAAAAGAATTACTACTTTCTCAGTCTTTCTTTGCTATACTATTTTCATCTACAGCATATTTTTAGATATACCACTAAAGTGAATACTTGTAGAAATAGGTAAAATGGCATTACATACATACACACAAACCCAAATACCTCCATATATTCCTTATGACAGGGATTCCTAATTTTTTTATCTTCATACTTTTAACCCCTTCTTAAAGGGGTTAATGAACACCCTTCCCCTAAAACTCCCAACACCAAAATGAACCCAAATGAACAATAAAAACAATACAAGTAATCCTCAACTTACAACCTTTCATTTGGTGACCGTTTGATGCCACTAAAAAAAGTGACTTTTTCACACTTACAACCTTTGCACCAGCCCCATGGTCCTGGATGCTTGGCAAGTGGCCCATATTTATGACAGTTGCAGTGTCCCAAGGTCATGTGATCATCTTTACAACCTTCTGACAAGCAAAATTAATGGGGAAGCCAGAGTCAATTGATAACCGTGTTACTAGCTTAACAACCGCAGTGATTCACTTAACAAGTGTGGCAAGAAAAGTCGTAAAATGGGTCAAAATTCACTAAAACGCACTTTCGCTTACAAACAGAAATTTAGTGCTTATTAGTGGTTGTAAGTTGAGGACTACCTATAATAATGAAAAATTTAGAAAGATGAGTTTATTATAACAATGTATTTAAAACATTCTTCACACCTCCCCTTGACTTACATCTTTCCTTGACTTGCCCAAGAAAATTACATCTCACAATTTGGGAAACCCTGGTATATACTATAATATTCACAAAAATATTTCTGAAAAAGAACAAAGAAACCTTACCTAGTGCATGATTACAACTACGACACGGTTCAGTAAGGCTCACAACAGACTGCTGCAAATCTACCCTGGGTGGAGTAGGAGGTGGGTTAGGGTTTTTCCAGCCATTACATTTACAAGAATCCTCTGCCTGAAATTTATAAAAATTAGGGGTGGAAAACAAATAGAAATTATGTAAATTTGAATAATAGCAATTATTACCATATTTCTGAAATCATGATGGCAGAGTGTTTTTAATTCAATAAAAACACTATTTACTTTTGTTCTATATTCATGCATGAACAGCTGCTAAAAAGGGTTTCAGGAAAAGATGATAAAGTTTGTGGAATAAGATATGATAATGTTCTCATTTTGAAAACTCATGTTTCTTCCTCTCATTGCTTATTTTATCTCACCACCAATTAATATGTGTGAATATATACATACAAGTGTATATACATTAATTTTGAAAATTGGGTAAAATTGAGACTCAATTTTACTCACAATGTTCCTGTTCATAGAAGGACATTTCTTTGAGTCTCTCTGCAGCTTCCTTTACCCCAATTCAAAGTATTGTAAATCCTTCTGACTAGTAAAGATAAGAGATGGAGTGAAAGTTCCTACTCAGAAAATGGCTACTCTAAATCTAACATTACACACACACACACACACACATACACACATTACATAACAGAGAAATCATACAATGCCT